ATCGTGGGAGGGGCCTTTTTTGTGACGTCACACAGACAGGCATCTGAGATCGGCTCGATTTGAGAAAAGGGTAAAGATTTAACCAGATTTTTTAAAAAACACTGGGTGGATTTTTATCATTATAGGGTGGTTGTGTACACACACTGCCAACACACATTTCAGTTCAAACAACTTGTAAAAGTACATGTAGCATCTTATGACCCCTTTAAATAAAATTACATTTAAAACAAATTTTTTTGAAGATTTTGATGTAGCTTCATACCTTTGGATGCCATTTCAAGTAGGTACTACTGTTAACTGTTTGTTAATTGTTAAGGGTTTGGACAGGACATGCAGAAATACTGATGTTTTTGAAGACTTTAAAGCTTAGTACACTACTAAATGTAGCCTGCCACTCACCCATTGTTTGTTCTTTACTAGCCACACTTTTTCAGGTCACCGTAAAATTGGAAGAGGTGACTCTGCAATCCAAACCATGCCGATTCAGGCTCCATTACAGAGGTCGGGTTAAATTAGGCCAGATTTGGCCGGTTTTTCTATCCCTTATAACTTGAAACCCACTTGGCACCACAGCGCTGTCAGCTAGGTCACAGAACGACCACATTTGTCAGCACTGTCAATCCATGTTAGCGCCCTAGATTTTGTGTGTTTCATGACAAAGCACATTACTCAACCTTGATTTGAGCTCAGTTATATAATCACACATTACCGTAATGTGCATCCAGCAAAGGAGGGCCACATACGCAGTGTGATTCTTAAATGGCAGCGAGGCGACTTCCCTTTCCTGTGTACCACTAAATAATTCAGACATCCAGTCAGAGCAGATTCAATGGTCCTGATTAAACTAAAAGCAGATCACTTCATAATATTAACTTAACTGGAACAACTTGTCTAGCTTTACACCTCGGACCAAATGGCGGCACGTGAGTGGAGGCGCACGCACTGTGATATCATGAGCACACAGCTCCTTGTGGAGCGAACAAGTTCAAATAAATGTTAATTTAAACAGCTTACAGGATATAGCTTGGGTTATGAGGTGTTTATATTATATCCATTGGTTTACATATGATGTAAGGTCAGGTCACCTGATCAATGAATTCATGACAAGCATGTCCAGAAGCCGGAAAACAAGAAACCATCGCTGCAAGCGGACACCCCGACACCTTCAATGGACACTTGCCTCATCAAATATTTACTTTTAGTGACTGTCAAAACTGCTCACGGCCAGAATGGACAAAACGGAATAACATTCAAAGAGACAGAGATTTCTGAGCTAGCTTCAAATCTACTGAATATAAATAAAAAGCATCACTAATCACAAATACTCAGGTTTATAAATTTGAACAAACCCCAAACTCTTAAGTATTAACTTGACTGTCTGTTTTTTGAAGGATGCACTTGTGTATCGGCCAATAATTGGAACTGGCCGATAAAAGCAATTATCGGGCATCAACCGATTGTTTAAAAACAGATGACAATAAATCAGGGCAGATTATATCCTGTCAATCAAAACGTGGCAGGGAAGACAAACATGTCAGACAGCAGCTTGTGTGAAGAAATGTATCTTGTGTTGAAATTTAGGGCTTTCCAAGTTAAAGCAGCAACATATTAACACAGCACCGTTAACGCAGGATCTTTTTGAATCCTATGAATCACCCATAGTTTAAACCAGGGTTGCCAGGTCTGTGGTTTTTCCATTCACAAAACATTATTTGTAATGTGCCTCCCATCCAATAATTTCAAAGAGCTTTGTGCTTTGTTACTTCTGACAAAAAACAAAGTCTCTGCTTTCAAATTCTGTTAATTTTAATCACAAAACAATATTTGAAACAATAAATGCCGTTTTGACTCTCTTAAATGTGACAACAGATCGCTGTAGCTGCCTCACCCTTACGAAAATTAACCATGGTTTTACTACAAATAAAACCAAAAAACCATGGTTACTATCGTTAAACCATGGTAACCACAAATTAACTATGGTTTTGCAACACTAACCATAGCTTAACCATGGTATTTGTAGTAAAACTGTGGTTATACAAATGGTAGTCAGTACGCCAAAAAAACATGGTTACTCCAATTTTACTATAATAAAACCATGGTTAATTCAGTTTTAGCGGCAGCTAGCGCGAGCTACTTCTGATAAAAAAAACAAAGTCTCAGCTTTCAAATTCTGTACATTTTATCACAAAATTCAAACATTAAATGCCATTTTGATGCTCTTAAATGTGAGATGACAGATCGCTGTAGCGTAGACTCACTGGAGAATCGCTGTATCTCAGTTTCAGCGGCAGCTAGCGTGAGTCTTTTCCTATTTCCTATCAAGTTGTAGCGTGAAATAAACATGAATAAACATCAGAAGGTGTATTGAAATATACAGTACAAATAACCGAAATGTACCATGTCTCTGGAATCAGTTTCAACTGAAAGAAAGACGTCAAATAAAACAGCTTGTTAACAAATGTCACTCAATGTTGCATTTACCATTTACCTCAGGAAAGTTACCCAGTGTTCACAGATGGTTAGTTAATCCAAAAA